ATAGACAGTGTAATAACGGATCTGTATTATCAGGGCAACAAAGCTTTATTTTTGCTTTAGATGTTACTCCTAAATTATTTGTATGTGCTCCATAAAACGTTCAACTGCCCCGTAAATTACAATAATAGTTATGTTATATATAGCCCTATGTGAAGGGTTAAAAATGGTTAGCTTGTTTGAGCATTTGAAAATAAAAGAAAAAATAACCACAGAGGAGTTTTGCATAATGCAGTCTTGAATTATATGCAATATTCATATCTATGCATAGCTACATTCCAAGTTAAAAACTAAACATGAATACTTTATTTTATATTTATTGCTACTAATGTAAAATTTAATGATTACATGTAAAGTCATAGGAACAATCGTTTTCTGTGAGCTTTTAAGGAGATACTTCAGCAAAGTTCCACAAATCTAGGTCTTAAAGCTGATTCTTATCCAACCATCTGTGTATATAAAAAGATGCTACACATTATCTTTTGTTTTTTAAAAAGAACATGTTTTAAATGAGGCAGAAGAAATCACTACATGGTAGGGATTCTGGTAAAAGTAAAATTTGAATACAAATGTATGGATCGTTTCAGAAAGAGAGACCTCTGAACTTCATACCTGGTAATGAATAAGATAAACCAAATAGTTCTCCTCAGTATTTTCTCATATCGGTTCTATAGTTTTTGTATCTCCACCAAAGATGTACTGTTGCAATTCAATTCTGCAACAACATCTTACGTTATGATAATCACAGTCTGAGTGTCCTGGTGTCATCGCAAGTAGGATTCCGTGAAGTTGAGGGTTATCAAGCTATGAATAACAAGGAGACCTGTCATAATCATATACTGTGCAAACTCCATTCAGAAAGGAAGGATTTGTCTGACTGCCATCACATTCTTTTTTTTCGATCTATCTCCTTCAAAATTCAGTATCATGATAGTCCATTGTCCTAAGTGAAAACAGCCTGGATGGCTTTACCTTTTAAGTTTAGCACTGAATGAGCCAAGGTATTCCCAGCCTTGTTTTTCCTAAAATAAGCTATACGGAAAACATTTCCTGTAGCTAATTAACAAAAAAGGAAGTTGTTTGTTAGTTGTCAAATATTTGATAGCAGCGTTTTTTGTGGGGTTTTGGTTTTGTTTGTTTTTATCTACCGCATCCCATTCCAATTTTCCTGTAGATTTAAACCAGCTCAATATGATCTGGATGAATAGGAGGAAACGAAGAAATGAATGATGTTTAAGGGATCTGTTTTGCAAATTGCTAGGAAAAATTTATTGTTGTCTTTTCAATACGATTTTAATAACCCATACCAGTTACCAAAACCAAAAAGACATTCTTATAGTCAAGCAGACAAAGGATTCATACTTATGGTATTTAATCTTATGTTTACACTTAAGTTTACAATCTGAAAAGATAAATCCAAACTGAAATGCCACATTCCTCATCTCTCTTTGGTTTTTACTACCTTGTTAAACTAGTTTATTTTGCATGCATGTTGCAGTGTTGTTCAGATATCAACGTTGTCAGAAGACCTGCACAAACAGTAGCACTTTTCTTGTATCTTTTACATGCAGCAAAAGTCAACCTTGATCTAATGCTGATTTCTGAGATCAGGGAACTAAGGATATGGATTTAAACACGAGAACATCTAGCACCTTCACATCTGTGGAATTTTTTCTGTAGGACCTTGCAAGCCCATTTTAGCTGCTGCCGCAGGCTTAAAGTCTGATACAGAGATTTTTATCTTCCTACTGTCTTAAATTCTGAAAGTTGTAAGAACATCTGGAAGATGTTCTAAAGCAAATTTGAAATGGATCAAGGAACAAGGAGCAGCAGAATGATAGTTTCTAGCAGGTACGTGTTGCCCTGAGGGCAAGCTGTACAAAATGGAGGGTTTTTTTAAAGTCACATTCATGACCCAGTGCCAAACCTGGGCAGTACATACTACAACAGGCCAGCCTGAAGATGAGGAAAGCATGCATCCCTATAGTCTTGTTTTCATCTAAAAGGACAAAAAGTAATTTCCTACATGATGGAAAAGGGAATAGACTTTATTAAGCTGTTTCTGTTTGAACTGGAGGCCTATTCACAATCTTCATAATTGGAAGCAAAGTGTTTACAATTCATTTCCACTTTTCGTTTCAGCACGCGCACTGTAGCAACGCTGCGGACAGCTGTCTATCAACTAGGAGGAAGGAACCAATGCATAGGTTAATGTAAAGGGGGCAGGTTTAAACATTAAAGGATGGCTTACAGCATTGTATTTTGCACATTTTCATGTGGTCCTGATACCTTAACGTATTTCTTCAAACACAATCTGACCAAAGAAACGCAAAATCACTAACGTTTTAGGTGGACAATTTCTATATATCATTAAGGATTTGCAAAGCCCTGGGCATACGCCTTTGTAAGAAGATAGAGGAAAGTGCCTGTCAAGCTATATCTTCCATAGAGCTAAACCCATTCAATTTGAGAGTGATATTAGTTATCCTTGGTTTAAACAGAAGTGGCTTGGATCATTCAAGGGATCAGAGATTTATGCAAAGAATCCCGACTTGCACATGCAGCTCAAGATATCATCCTCTCCTTAAAAAATACGCAGTTGTAATTGTATAGCAAGACAAAATTGTGTTTAAATAAAACTGCAGTTAAAGCATTGTGGAAAAAAAGTTATTCTAGAATTAGAAAATGCAAAAATACAAATGTTATTGGCAGTAATTAAAGATTAACTGCATTATTCACTGACTAAACATCGCTAGTGCCTTATTTAAACTGCTTTTCAATAATTGAAAATACAAATCTTCATAAAGATCAGAACTGAAGCACCACTTAAAAAAACACACTTACAGAAAATGATTTATTCTTTCAGAGCCAAGAGAAATACACGTCTATACCTGAGCCATGAGTATCTCCAGGTTTGTGGAACCAAAGTCTCAGGTATGTATTTTTTCTCCTGTTGACTAAGTGTCAGAAACAATAAGTTAAGAAGGAAAAAGAAAAATTAAAAAGAGTATGGATCCAAAAGTGAAAGTTGGTATTGTATATAAAAGACCCATAATATTTACAAAAACATTTGTACTTGCAATCTGTTTTGCAGAGTAAAACACAGATTACCTTTTATCCTCGATTGCTTTCTTTATAATACACAACAGATAAGCTTTTTGAATACCACAGATTTTTTTCATTGCTATCATTCTGAGTTCAGGCTGTGGAACGGATCAGAGAACATACTGATATAAATCCAGAAAATGTACTGGCAAAAACCACAACTGGGATAAATCACTTCAGTCCTCAATTCTTGTCAGAACAGTGGTCATGGGTCGACAAGATACAAGTCAAACTGGACATAGCTGTAATCACAGTTTACAGGGGCTGACTTAATGAAAGTCACTTCTTTGTGTATCTACTGCAGGCATGCAGCCTTCAAAAGCCCTAAGTCCGATACCTGTCATATCCTAAAGGTGCATATATTCACCTTTTGCTGAACTAGGACAATCAGGCTGAACCACAGAATATGGGGAATAGCCCAATATGCTGAAATGGAGACAATGACAAGAAAAGCTGATCAGCTTTGGACTTTGAGTGAAAATGGTTAAAAAAGAATGCAAAGAGAGTGACAAATGGGATTAACTCAAGTGAGCACCAAGAAGGAAGTTGAGGATGTTAAGGAAGGAAATGACTCGGTCTGTGTTTGTGTATAGGAAAGGCTGAGTAATACAAGGTTGTCTGTCTGGTGCCATACACCTTTATGGTCATTTTGGATCACTCCAGTGAAAAACTCCAATTTAATTATGTCTCCCTCACCACAAGGTGGCACATACGTACTCCCTACGATTTTTAATTCCTCTACAGTTTACTTCTTAAAATGAAGTAACTGTTATCTATTTCTACAGAGAGGAAGGAGTGAGGGTGAGATAAAAGCAGGGAATGATACACTGCATTGTATTGTCAAGTACAGGCAGCTAAAGGTAAGTAAACTATTCTTAATATGTGGATTAATTCCAAACTTTCCTTGCTACTACTATTTACTAAAGGGTCTGAGATGTATTCACATCAACAGTGTGAAAATTAAACAGGATAAGGAGCTATTGAAAACTTAACTTCAGTATGTTTTACAAATATGTTCACTAGAAACTCAACAGAATTTAAGAGTGAAACGCAACATGGACTTTGGATAGCAAGACTTTGGTGCCAAAAATGGAAATAAAGCATACTGAAGCAGAAAACAAGTCATATCTAACGATTATTTTGATTCTCTCTGTTTTAAGACTGCTGGTCACCCATTGGTTGGTATGCAGCATAAGGGTTTTTTCTTGCATTGCTGTCACTTTTCATTCTCATGTTGTGAGATCCATGAATTAATAACTACATATACTAAGGAGGATGTTCCCTAGATTAATTTTTCCTTCATGCCGATAAAGGTTGTGTTTGAGTGTCAGACTTTGAAACATATGAATATACATTCTCATTTTTCACCTAGTGGCTGATCAAATAAAAATCTCAGTGCAGTTGTTACTCTTTTCAAGTCTGTGGTATAAAAATATACTGCACGATCTATAATGGCCACAGCACACCCTTCTCCACAGTACATAATGGACCCACATGTTTCATATATCCATCAGAAAGGCACTAAGCAGCCTATGAATCCACCAAACTGCAGAAGAGATTTGAAAGCAAACTGAGATAAGGGTGTGTGTACAAAAAAAAGGAGGAATTTTTTAAGGACAGAAATAGTGACCTAAATCAAAGCACAGAAACACTAGCTAGCATGCGAAGCAATTCTATCCACGCACCACAGAATATATGTTTTTAGAAAGTAGATTCTTGGAGATTTAAAGTATAAACTATGTACATAGCTCCCTCTGATGACCATTGGACACGATACAATGCAAGTCTCCTTTTATTTTTGTTCGTGCATTCAACTGACAGCTGACTGGTTAAATTCTAATTGCTTCCAAGTGAGGTCAGCAAAGGTATTTATCGAAAAGGACTGAACAACAGGCTCAACACACACATGCACGCATAAGCACATACACACCATCTCTCCAGCGTGTTGATTTATGGAAACAATTATAATTCTGGTGGAGTCTTTCTGAGCTGAGAAAGTTTGTAGCTAGAGTGTCTCATGTTGCAAAAAGCAGACAACAGAAATGGAGTACTTGGCTATCCAGCTCTTATCAACAGGAACAAGTAAGTTTTCTGTCCTTTACAAGAATATTCAGCAGTTTCTAATAGCTAATAACTTTTATCTTCAATTGTATATGCTAAACGCTAAAAAGGCATTAAGACGACTACTTCTACTAATAAACTGAAAAGGGTAGGAATAAAACTGCAGGGCTAACACTGAGATCTATGCTGAAATTTGAACTAGAGAAAAGATGTCTGATAGATTGTGCTAATAGTGAATACATAGGCATGAAGTAATCAGCAGAATTTTACCATGCATGAGAAAGTAGTTCAATTGAATCAATAGGGGATTTTTGGAAGGACTTAAAACTGAAGACAGAACTATGTTTACAATCAGATCAAATGACTGTTTATGTAAAAAGTTGTGTGAGAGATATCTGTTGTATATACATTTACATATTTTAAGAAATCAGCTTAGCATGTCATACATTTATGTATAGCACTTTTTAGTAGCATAATGTATCCTTGCACGTTTGTAACAATTGAGCATAAAGACTTATACATGCACCTTTTCTCACAGATCTTTTACTTTCAGTGCAAGCAGCAAATTCAAGTAGTACAGAAGGTCACGACAACAAAGGTTTTTATAACTTGTGTCTTTAAAGGATAATCTGACTGAAGAGATATTTAAGAAGCTCTTCTATTTCGCCATTAACTATTAAGGAATAACGATCAGAATTCTAGAAGAGGGAACAGTCTCATTTAAATGAATCCGTAACTCATAAAGACAGAAGGCAGGTCGGTGACCTAAGAGCAACAGTCTACTTGAGAATTAATTTTCATTATGTTGTTCATGAACACCCAGAACACTGCACTATAATGCACAAATGGATACTGACATGGATCCTGCCAATTTTGCTCTACAGATCATACTTTTACATTATCTTTCTAATGGGCACTATATCTTTAGCTTGCAATGACATGACTCCAGAGCAAATGGCTACAAATGTGAACTGTTCCAGCCCTGAGCGACATACCAGAAGCTATGATTATATGGAAGGGGGGGATGTAAGAGTGAGAAGACTTTTCTGTCGAACTCAGTGGTATATGAGGATTGACAAACGAGGCAAAGTAAAAGGGACAAGAGAAGCAAACAACAACTACAGTAAGTAGTATTTTTGCTTTTCCTACTTTAAGTTTTTTAGACATTTACACGTCACTGTTTCCTATTCCTTGATTTATTGTAATTTCAAGAGAATTTTGTATAGTGTACTGACCATTGTATAAGACAAGTCTTCTAATTAATCCTACAGCAGGACATTTGTTATTGATTTTGAAATGCGTCATTTTAAATACTACATTGTAGATCTGCAAATGTATTAGTTACAGCTGGTAACTATTAGCAAACAGAGAGCCTATTTTAACAAGTGAATTAAGGTTGTAAGTATGAAAATGTATAACCACAAACTCTGCTCATAAAATACTTATGAAACATTAAACCACATTTATATAGTCCACAAACTACCTAAAAGTTTGGTGTGTTTGAGTTAACAATTAAAACATATGCAATACTAGAAAGTCCAATGGAAAGAATTATGTAAACTCTTGCAAAATCTTTTAGATAGTTTGCCAAGCCAGGAACAAAATCTATTATAGTTTCTGCAGTTCATTATTACAATGATCATGATGCTGAAAAAATATTCTCTGCCTTTTCTTCCAAAAACATGACTCATCTAGAGAGAATGGACATATAATATTTTGCAAAGCTGTACCAAATACAATTTTTGAACTGGCAAAAGAATTGTTGTATTAATCTGTATTTTTCACACAAACATCTATATATTTCCCATTTTCACCTGAAGGCATCAATTTTACAGTCACTATTTTTACCACTTTGGCTTTCATGTTATTACAAACATATTGTTTACTTAGAGAAAGATGACATCTACTTGAAAAGACATTACTTTATTAAGATACAACAGGAAAATACATAGGACTATTGCATATTTCAAAACAAAATTATAAAGAAAAGGGACCAGACACTTGCTGGTCTAGTGCTTATAGCCAAGTGAAAGGACAAATATATTTCTAAGGATGCTATTAAGAACAGTTTTAATGTAGGTTATATGTGTTACTGTGCTTTTATAACAGCAACAGCGAAAGAAATCAATAAATCAAGATTCAAGAACTGATAGTGTGAATCAGCTTTCAGCTGGAGTTGACTGCTTATTTTCTATAAGAACAGCACCTTTGCATGCTAAGCGCTTGGCTAGTGGGCTTCATAATTTATTTCTATACTTCATGACTACATTAAGTGTTTGGCAACTTGCACGGCTCAAAAATCATTGACTAATGTTACTGTTTCTTTAAAATTTGTTTCCATATGTCTTCTTTCTTCCTACACTATTACGTACTGAATAACCATATTCCTCTGAAAGACAACACATGGCCAGCAGCCAAATAAATTATTTGGTCCACATTCAAGACAACTTCCATTGAGTTTCAGGAGGACACTGCTACAATAGAGATCCATAGGGTTAGTTTTGAAGTGAAATCTTGCTCCCATAAAAGTCACTGGAAAAAACTGTTACTGACTATTGAAATAGTGTCTTCTATTTTTTTCCAGATAGGTGAATATCCACAGTACCCCGTTTTTTGTTATTATTTACAAAGACTTTAAAGAAATTATGATAGCATATAAAGCTGAATAATCGTATAAATTTGTGGGGTTTTTTTGGGTTGGTTTTGTTTTGGGGTCTTTTTGTTTGGTGTGTTTTTTTTGGTGGTTTGTTGTTTTTTTTGTTTTTTTTTTTTTTTTTACTTCCATGATGCTTTGATAGTAATTTAGCATTATTTCAAATTCAAGTAAAGTGAAAAAATCTCTGCAGGATACCATGCTGCTGAAGCACACCAATGACACCCTGAAATGTCCTGTAGTGAAACTATTAGAAAGTATCAGGTCATCTTGTGCTAAAGGCAATCCATTTCTTTTGTAGTTTTCTGAACAGTTTATGAATATTTAGTGGTGGTAGCTATTTATAACAAATTACAGAAAGGCAACCTTGTGACATTAAATTCTTACATTTATATTACAGTGAAAAAAATTAAATTACTTTTTGGTAAATGCAAAAAGTATCAGGAGAAAAAAACCAATCAATACTTGAATCGTTTATTCAGTAACTGATGTGCGTTATGATGAACTGTCTCCACTAAATTTAACTAAAGTATGTGGGAAGTCTCCCACCATCTGAAGTTTGTCTCTAGCTTTTGTTGGACAAGTAGAATAATGAAATATAGACAAAGAGGACTGGAAAAATGTGAACACTGATAACTTGAGTTTTCTGTTAAGCTGAAAAAAGTTAGTGTTGTGAAAATCTTTTTTTGTCATACTCTCTATTCAACAGAATATGTAAGAAGCCTTTTTGAAGATATGTTTATGGCTTTCTATTAAAACAGCCATAAAGAAAATTATATGACGTGAGGCAAAAAAAACCCAAAACAAACCCACCTGGACTAATACAGTTTCCCTAAGCAAACTTTTAACATTAAGAGACTATCAGGCTATCTTTATTGCCAGCCTCTGAAAAGCATAATTTCAAAATCATACCCATTACAAAGATGTATTACTCTGGGTGTTCCAATATTCTTGTTCTGTGATTTCCAGTTCTGAAAGTTAGTAAAAGGTAAATCAGACCTGTTTCTCAGGATGGAATCCCAGAATAGTTGCAGTCAAATTAATCAATGGGTATGAAAAGTGTTGCTCGAGAAGTATCTTCTTATTTTATCCTAATTTGCCATTTACATAATAAAAGGAATTCTTTTCCCTTTTGAATCACTAACATGTGCTACTAAAAGGAGAACAAGAACAAATGTGTATTTTTAACTATCATAACTTAGCTTCATAAAGGAAGCTGCATTGACAGTTTTGCAGACAGAGTCAACTACTTGTTTTCAGCCCATGAATAATGTGAAGAGCAATCTTCACATTGAGAAATGTCTGTAGAATGGTAACTTCATCATAACTTAGGTAAGTGCCAAAATTGACAGAGCTTCTCTCATCAGTCGAGACTATAAATGTAAGAATGCCAAGACGGTGAGGAATTAGGGTCTTTGTATTTAAAAATTCTCTAGTAAGCTACAGAATAAGATATATATACACACCCTATGAAAGTAACAGCAAAAATAACACGTTAAAATTTCCTAAGATTTTAATTCAAAAGCCACTGTATTAAATGTACACGGATTGAAATTCCGTGACAAAGTTAAATACTGAACCAAATCCTTACTCACCAGTTGTGATTAGTCTGTATTTATCATTCCCTTGTTTCAAAACTCATTAGAAGTTAACTGCTTAGTCCAAGAAATGTGTGTGTACTGTTTCAGTGAAAGCAAATTGTTGAATCCTGTTTACAACAGTGATGGCCTTGTTACGTACCTGAACATTATTATTCCGTGCACATTTCACAGAAAGCAGTAGAGCCTTCTGGTGGACATAAAGGTGATAACTCAAGAGTAAACTTAGCAAATCAGAGGACAGTGATCTCCACTAAGCAGAGGAAATAACTGCACCTGACAGCTTTGCTTTCATTCTGAAAACTAAAAGGCAGAGCGAGAAGCAAGAGTCACACACTGAAAAACTAAAGCAAGAATTAAGAAGCAGCCAAGAGATGAGGTCACCCAGAAAAATCTGTCATTATTCATAAAAATTTGAGAAACTCTTATTATACCTTGTCCAAGCCTAAATTATTGCTTTTTATTAAAAAATAAACTGTGTCGTATTCATGTAAAGTAATCTAAGTGGGCACACAAAACAGACTTTTTGAATTAATGATTGTAAAAAGTGAGAGTGACTAAACAAATCTTGGATATAATATGGCAATTTGTTAACTCTTCATCTTTGATAGAAAACAAATCTCTCTTTATTACTGCTTACTACTTCTTTAATTTCATTTTGTGTTTATGAATTTTGCCAGATTTTATTTTGTTCAGAAAAAAAGTCCGCAAAAATCAGAGTTTATTTTGACTCTATCCAAGAGGATTTACAGCTATGACTGGATGATGCTTTAGGACTTTCCACGCTCTGTTGCCTTTGGAATCTCATTTTAAAGACTTCAAAGGGTCTCTTAGTTACTAGAAAAGCCTTCCTGGAACCTGAATCCTAAGATGTCTGATCCTATCATATTCCATGTGTGCTCTAGACCCAGAAAGTGCCTGTTTCCTCTTCTTTTCAGTGGATAAGACAACCAATAAAAGGTTAAAAAAAAAAAAAAAAAAAGATAATGTAGTGACATCTTGGCACTAAATGGCTGAAATTTTTATTTTGGAAAACTACTTCTATTTTGATCAAAATCCAATAAGTCATAGTTTCCAGCAATATTAAATGAACTCTAACTCAGTTTTGTTTAAAGCTAAACCCTAACTGCTGACAAACTACACTTTTTATGCTTCTTAGTGGTTAAATACTCAAACTTGCTTAGAAATCAAAATTATTTCCAGTAGCATTTATACACGCTTCCTAGTGTAAACAAATGTTGGACTATGTATGTTGTGCCACTATATAAATTTTATTTCTATAGCTTAAATACATATTGCATAGAGGAGAAAGAAGATTCAGTATCCGAAAATCGGATCTGTCAAGGCAGGATTGACATACCAGATTCTGTTAAAGGGTTACATGTGTTCAGAAAGTCTGACTTTGCATTCTTGAATTTTAAGAGGTTGTTGGTTCAACCAATACATTGGTGTCATGAGAAGCAAACCTTCACTGATGTGAAAATGCTTTTGCTTCATAATAGTACTTTGCTAATCTTTTCAGTTTTAACAGAAAGAGATTTAATTCAAAAGGCAATATATGCGTATCCTCTCCAAGTTTGCCTACAGTGCCAAGGATGACTTTCTCTCCTACAGTGATTAATCAGATCTAAATATAAACAGATTTCCCTGCTCCCTCTGTAGCTCTTTTTCTAGCACTGGTGGTAGATACCACCCGTCCAGTTCCAAGCAGGAGAAGACATTCTGTGTCTATAACATAGCCTCTACTTTATCACAAATCCCAGCTTTTCCCCATCAACTGCTGACGAGGATGGGTTTTAGCAAAGATGCAGACAACAAGCAGCCGAGTGATGCCTGCTGTTAATAAGAGTACCCTTTGGGGGAAGTGAGGAG